CTTTTGAAAATCACGTGATCGGCTCCGATCCCCGATCACGTGATTGGATCGGGACATCTCCAACCATAAGCGAAACAGATTACCTGACATCTTCAAACTGTCTAATTATTCTTTCTTTATACATTTTCTTAGACCCAAATATGTTCATACAATCATTTAGTAAATCAACATTTCAAGGGGAAATCATGAAAGCCGGTCCTCACCCTCCCTGCCTCCCTTATCTCCTCTGTCGTGTGTGTTACTTTCACCTTGGCATGCAGCATCCTCCTTCCTCGTCTGTGCTCCTCTTCCAGGACCCCTGAGCTGTCCTGGGAGGTGCCTTTACTAAGGGATTTCTCTTCATTGACTTCCTGGGTAAATTGATTTTAATAGCCAACACTTGGGGCCTTTTCTCACGGTCTCCTCTTTCAGCAGCGGCAGGCTCCGTCACGCCCTGCCATATTTCTCCACTCAGGACGTCTGGGCTATTTTCCAGGGCTATTGGAATAAGAACTGACGAATCCCTTTCAAGGTCCCAAGGAGATAATCTCCTGTCATTTCTGATTTGCATAACATTATTTAAAATTTAATGTAATGGCATTAAGCAATAGAAGACCCTCCCTTTTCTGTGAGCCCACATCTGTTTGCGGTGTGTGCACAAATGTGTTCATACACTGCAGGGGCTCATCTCCTTTATGGGGTAACAGGAAGTCCCCCTTCCTCCCTGTGCTCTTCTGCCTTGTCTTCCCATCTTCCCAGAGAGACCCCCTCCCTCCAATCCGTCCCAGCTAACTGAGAATATCACGACACTGTACTGAGATAATCAACTGATAGCTCAAAGCAGATGAAAGAGGTATCAGATCTATTTATCTGACACACACACACACACACACACACACACACACACACACACACACACACACACACACACACACACACACACACACACACACACACACACACACACACACACACAGCTAACAAAGCAGTGTGTTTCAGGGTACGGGGCCAAGGCATAGCCCAGAGGACCGAGGGCCGGATACCATTCCATTTGTCGGATCCGTACGTGTCCTACTTAGAAGGCTGCAATGGGACTCAATTAGGCTGGAACCAAGACGAGCTGATAACTTAATTTATTAATGAATACAATGGGATGGAGAATGGAGGGATGAGCTTGCTCGTTTGTTCGGGGCTGGCTAGGCCAAACAGCTTCACTACAATAACGTGCTTTCATCGGGACGGAGGTGGGTCAAACAGGGATTACGCAATGGACACTTTAATGACTGTGTGGTGAGTTTGTGAAAAGGGGAACTATTAAAACAGTGTTGTTTCATTACGTGATTAAGTTTGAGCAAAACAAATTGTTATTCAGTGCTATGATAAGTCACTATCTAATCTTGCTTTCTGGTTATGTTTTTCAGTGTATTCCTAAAAAACAGATGCACACAAACCACACACACTTGCATCCAGACTTGAACTCAGGTAAACGTGTACACAATGTGCAATTGCATTACTGATACATGGTGCACATACACACATGGAAGAAAGGCCAACACACACAGAAACACGCCATTACACTGCAGACAGACAAGCGCACAAACACACACAAACTCAGGCACACCATCTCTATTCTCTGAGGTAGATGACATTAAAAATAAATTCATTCAGAGTCAATTTGGAGAATGTTTGGCGATGCAGGGCAGGAATACCATCTGAGCTCTGGGAATTGTAGATTGCTCCCCCTCTCCCTAAGGCATGCTCTTTGTCTATCTATTTGGTGTGATTAAAAATACAATGATGAATGCATATTTCTTCCAGATGAATAACTTGAAGGGGTTGGCAGCAGATGAATCAGAGAGCAGTGTGTTGGTAGAGAGACTAGCCAGGTCAGACTGAGTCACAGTCAGATCCTCTGCAGGCTGGACTAAAAGAGGTCATCTGGACAACAGTCTACCACATGGGGCTGGAGCTGGTTACATTAAAGCTGCAGGCAAGACTTTTATGTAAAAACAAAACATCTAATCATCCTGAAAATGGAGCTGCACTGAAACTAAATTCCCATTCAGCAATTTTAGAGTAGTAATATTCATCTCTATTGTCAGGTTGGCTCATGAATAACATACTGTTCACACATAAAAGTGATACATTGAGCATCTGGACAAAACCATGTTCTGGTTAGGAGTTCATAAGAACAAATCTAGGGAAGGCTCAAACTGGCTGCAACCAACACTATCTGCAACAGGGACATTTTGTTTAGACTTTCTCAATGCAATCACATTGACGGCCATCAATTAATGTTTGTCAATTTAAAAAAAAATACAAAGTTACAGCTGCTGCTATTCGGGGAAGCCAATGGTTGAAGACGCTTTGTGGAGCTTTATTTAGGTCATAAATGTTAAATGTTGGAAACAATTGCATTTTGTTCCGCCACTCAAAGCTCAGCCCCGACTGTTCTTTGTGCTAATGTAAACACACAAACACATACATGTATTCATGCACCATACATCCACACACACAGTCAGCTACATGTGAAACCTAAGCCTCCCCAGTGCCTTGGGAGGGTCCGGGCTTGAAGGGGAGCGTTTGAGGCTCATATCCCCAGTAGAGACCGCTGCTGGCAGGGCTACTGAGTACCCCCCCCCCTCCTATTGCCCCCTACAAACCAGTGAAAGAGGAAGGCCCTCCTCTCCTTACATGTCAACTTCAGAGAGCATGCCTCTTGCTGCCTCAAAGCTTTGATACCAAAATAGTCCAGGAAGCCTCTGTCTTAAAAATGCCCCAGCAGACCCTGATTCCGGGGATAGAGGGAGGGAAGAGAAAGCAAGAAGCTGGAAAGACAGAAAACACAGGAGGACTACAATATTACTGGAAAGTGAAGAAAGATCGAAAGGCTTCGTATGACTGTTCAACTCGGTAGTGTACTGCAAATTACTCAAACAACAAGATTCAATCTCGACCAACAAATAAGTATTTCCTTTTTTTTCTTTTTAAATGAACTGAATTTGCACTGGAGGACAGGATGAAGAAAGGTGTGAAAGGCCTCCTCTGAGATCCTTGGCTTGCAGGTCTTACAGAGCATCCAGTATGAAACATATGTATATAAATAATACATAAGCAATGTTATTCATAGCTGAGCAAAAGAATGCTTTAATAATAGAATTGGTGGTGAGTTTAGAGAGCAGAAGAACAATTGAATATTGGAAAGAAGTCTGTTTTTAATGATCTGCTGCTGAAGTGAAAGAGGGGGAGAGATAAGGCAAAGAGATGCTTGGACGGATGGAAGGACTGAAAGAGGGGGAGACTTCATTTTGGGTTTTATGATCATTTTCAAAAAATATTAAAATGTGCAACTTTCTGAGGGACGGTGAAAGAAACATTGAAGTATGACACTACAGAACACGTTTTCATTCAATAGTGAGGCAATGGCTTTCATGTAACTCAGTGCTGAGGTGTGAAATACAGTATGATAAGGACTATGATAAGACCTTACAAACTGAAAAACTCACTATTGAATATGGGATAGGAGAGAAAACAATGACAACGTTACCCGAGAATATCCCGTTTACAAGACTGTCATATTTTTTTTAACTGTTGTCATTACACAGTACAGGTACTATGTGACTAAATGGTTTCTCTGCATTTGACCCATCCTAGTGTTAGGTTTATGAGGTCTTCTCACCAACCAAATGTTTTGAAGGTTTCGGTCATGGTAACAAGCTACTCCCTCATCTTGTCATAGGAGAGAAAGTGAATTGCTTAAAGGGCAGATGTGCAAGTACTGGAAGAAGGGAGGTGAGCTGCGTTCTGCTGAGGCTGTAACTTTTTGGGGGTTACTACTCTATTACTAGTGGTTGTTAAAAAGTAAAACCATAATACATCTCCTAAAACATCTCATTCAAACACATGTCTTATTCAAGTTTAGCAAAAAAAAGTGAAATGTTACAAGACTACGTTTGAACAATATTTACACACCGAACGCACCCTAATACAACTCTATTGAACCTCCATTCACCAGATGCTAACAGCTAACAGATGATGTTAACTGGCATTCGTATGACTGGCTTCAAAACTTTTTTTCACATGGTAACAAACATCAGGGCAAACATAGGTTACTTCCATTCTAGACATATTGATAGTGAGTTCCCCAAGAGTCCACAGCATATTTCTTATCATTCCCTGAATTACAGAAACTTTGAGTCTTGCGGTACTACAGACAAGTGAGTACCATCATGTTTTCACAATGTTGGCACCGAATTGTTACTGAAGTATCTGTTCTCGTGATATCCTTTCTTAGGACTGAGAGTGAAAAGTAGAGCCTTTCCTAGAAGTGCAGATGCTCCAGCATTGAGTAGATCTCCACATCATGCCTGCACCTGGACTACAGACATGTGGGTTCATACAGCAGTATGGCAGAGAGTAAGAAGGGGACTAGCACTTACTGGACTCCCCTCTCTGCTGTTCGGCTCGACATGCTACATTGCAGACCTGTTTGGCTGACTTGATGGCCGTCTTGGTTTACGGGCCAGCTCACTTGCCCAGTTAGCCAGAAGGCCTATGTTGCCACAGTGGCTCATTCTGCAGGGAGACCTATTGGTCTATTCAGCTCCAAGCTCCCCTACTTACTCAACACATAGGTCTGGGTTACCTTGCTCATTCAGCAATGCCTAGCACTAGTCAGATGAAAGCACTTGCACCTGTCAAACAAACTGCTGGATCTGTGATAAATTAATGATCAAATGGCTGACTGAGAAGAACAGTGGCACTACAGAGTCATGTAAGAAGCAAAGCAAAAGAAAGGTAAAAAGATGGAAAGGGTGAGAGACGAAAAGAAAGAAAGAGAGAGAGAGAGAGAGAGAGAGAGAGAGAGAGAGAGAGAGGACAACAGAATGGTAAAGAAAGAGAAGGAAAATACGAGATTGGATATATGAAGATAGGGACGGAAGAATAGAAAGAGAAACTGATATCAAAACCAAACATATTAACGTGTGTGTGTGTGTGTGTGTGCGTGCGTGCGTGCGTGCGTGCGTGCGTGTGTGCGTGCGTGCGTGCGTGCGTGCGTGTGTGCGTGCGTGTGTGTGCGTAGTTTCATGTGCCTTCAAAGTAAGAGTGGTGGGAGCAGCTTCTGAGTCGGGGTTGCTACAGTCCCCTCTAGTTTGTGCAACACACAACGCAGTGGCCATATTAGTTTTTACCCTTTAGTATTACTCTTATTATTAGTAGTAATTTATGCTATACTTATTTTGAGGTCCTTTTATGATCAATTCAAACTGTTCTAAGCAAACATCTTGCATTCAAAAGCTGCCTACAAACCTAAAATGGTGTATTAGTTTGTGACAGTGTTCGTAAACATATACACTTTGATAGAACAGCTTTTTCTTATAGACGAGAGAATAATATCAAATCAAAAGACTTCCTCCAAACACAGTCAAAATTCATTATTCATCTGCAGTACTTTTGTGGGGGGGCTTAACACAGGCACACACTCCGTCTGTGTGCGTGATTGAATATACTTTAGGGGGCGAGAGATTGCTTATGGCTTCTGAGGGAAAAAAGGGAGAAGATGTCAGAAAAGGGTTTGTGTAAACAACGGATGATTGTGGGTTCTTGTAGTCGCTGTGAGTGACTGGAGACTTGTTCATCTCGGCACATTTCCATCCCCATTATGTCGTCCAGGCATTGTGATGGGAGCGCGGCAGCTCATCTCATATGCAGTTATCCAGCTAACTACCAGCCTTCCCCCTGCTGCTCCACCGGCCTTTGATAAGAACAGAGGGAAATTAAAATCATGAACCTGAATTATGAATCCAATGACAAGACTCTCTTGGCTATCTCTCCTCCGCTCTCTCACTTGTACTCCTGTTCTTTACTTCCCTTTCATTCCCAGTGTTGTTCTCTTTCGCTTTTTTCTTTTTCCCCAACACCGCACCCCCTTCTCTTTCGGTTACTGAGGATTCAACTGCTAGCATATTCCATAAGAGAGAGGGGAAAAGTTTCAAACGACGAAAACACACAGTTTGATAAAAACTGACGAGGGACTCAATTAAGGCTTCGCTGTCAAAGCAAGAGTGATATTTTATTAAGTGGCAGTGTGCCATTCGATGGGTACATCAAGCGACACATCTGTAGACGAGAGGACTGCAGCAGCCGGGTAAGAGGGACACGTGTTGCCGCTTTCAGGAAACATCAGTCGAACGTCACTTCATCACGTCTGCTGAAAAATTAAGAGGCCGCGAAATTAGGATGCTCATTTACTTTTTCATTGCACCACCCTTCGAATATGTGGCTGTCCTCCTTTTCTTTCCATTTATTTCGAACACATCCGAGCACAAAGACTCCTGGTATTAGCTTTTGTTACATTACCACCAGAACAAGAGCGACCAAGTTTCTGCCACATCAGACAGGGGAAACAACCAAAGACCCCGCATTGTCGCCGAGCCGCTTTTAAGAAACAGATTTATAGGCCAGCGCATAGGCTGGCTTTGTAACTTATGTTTCGCTTGTAATTCTGTTTCCATGACTCCTGATTCAGTATATTAAAACAGGTGAAGTAAACGTGGCAGAAACATTGCCGTTATCTTGTGAACAGGGACAGCTATCTGTGTTGAAATAATGATATTTGACAACATTTTAGACAGAATAAGCTCAGCGCGAGATGTATTCAAAAATAACAATTGTGTCAAATCAAGATGAGCCTTAACTGGCATGTCAGTTTCACAAGTGTACTGTGAGGATTCTCTTACGACTACAATGACAGCACTAAAATCATTTAATGCTATATTGTATACGACATGTATCCTGTTTTTCTCTGAAGAGAAAATACATTTTTCTCTCAGGTTTGTACTTTGTTGTCTCACAGATCTGATGACTGGGTGCTTCGGCTTTGACCCAAACAGACTTTACTATTGTTTGCATATATAAATTAAAACCCAGTCTACCGTTGAATTCATTTGAAGTCGCTCTGGTTGAGAAACTCAGACAAAGACAGCTACATTCCCTTTTTACATTTGGGGTAAACAGAGGATTTGAGTATCAATGGTATATACACGCCTGGTTGTTTGTGTGGACAACCGCTTATATATTCAGCAAGTTCCACTCTACTTTAAATTTCTTTTTAAATAAAAGTAAAGTTAATCCTTCAGAGAGCAGACATGGTGGTGTAGTTAAAAAGGAAACAGCAGCGCTCTGATGTTCCTGGAAGGGGCCATGGTGTTACAGCGAGATTAAACTTTAATTCTGAAGTCTCTCTTGTAATTGAGATTCTCTTGTAGGATGTCGTAGTACAGAGAAAAAAAAAAACCCTTTCCACCCAACACACACTCACCAATATGTGTGTGCATTGGTTTACATGTTGTATGGGTCTGCATGCCAACATGTCTACACTATGTGTGTGTAAGCACGTGGTGGAGCTGACACTGGGCTGTACAGGAGCTCAGCGCTGACCATACATAGTCTGTTTCATGTAGAACAAAAGCTCTGTTGGAAGACACAAAAGGCCAGGTTCAAAAGCATCGCAGGCGTCAGGAGCCCAGGCCTAGATACATGAAACAATCAGTGTAAACTTGTCCACAGCTAAGAGGGCTGTGATGCCCATACAGCAATGCTCCTCGCGCTCAACGGGCACGGCTCTGTCCACATAACACAAGATTAAAGATCAAACACTGGCGTTGATGATGAGCGCAAAGGACTGTTGTTGTGTTTTTATCATTGATTAATAAGTTGCTCCCAAGACGAGGGATAATGTATGCATGCTGCGACTGGAAGCTCTGTTCTGTGTAGTTGGCATGGGGGTGTGGAGGGTAGAGAAAAAGCAGGGGACATATATGCAAAGGAGGTTTGCTTACATGTACTGTACATGCGTGTTTACAGCTGAATATTATATGATATTGAGATGAGTGACGGTGGCCACATTTTAATGACAGCTAGCGGAGATACTGACGGATTCAGGCACTGACGATCTGAATCGAGGTTACTGCACTTGTAAGGATTTGCTTTGGTGTCTGGTGGTGCAAACATAAACAACATAAGACAATGAGTTGTAAGAGGTCAAAATGTAACGATTGCAAAAAGAAAATATTTTTAAAATACTACTTAAAATTAAAAAGAGCATAAAGACAAGTATTTACAGCAAATGTAAATATACAAAATAATCTATATATGACGATATATGACAAACTGCAGTGTATTATATTATTATAAATACTTGGAAAACCTAAGAGTTCCTGAACAAGCGGAAGTTATTATATACAGTAATAAAGAAAATATACACACACAGCCTAAATGTCTGAAGGTCCCACCCCCCCTTCCTGTTTGTCCCTAATTTCTTCTCCTCTCCCTCCATCACTCTCTCCAGGATATTTATGAGTGATAGATCTGTCAGCGCTCGCGCTAAACAAATGAAAGTTGCAGCTTGTGCCATAGAGGCAACGCTTTCATCAGCGCTCGGCTTTGTTTGAAGTGAGCCCCCGCCTCTCTCTCGTACCACCGTTGAACTTGATGAGTTACTAGTTGGGAATGTGACATTTACATTCAGCTACCACATGTAGCATAACCGTGTTTATATTTCAGCTTCAGAAAGCGTATGTGGTATTATTGGTCTGTCGTGTGATTTTATAACATTTCATTAAGAGTTACATTTGAGTGCTCTAAGGAAATGAAAACTCATAACAGTAGTCAGTGTTGTTATCACCAGATAAAAGTTCAACTCAAATCAGACAGGCTATGTTTAACATATCAGTCATGTCCTTTTTTTAAGTAGAGTATTGTGAATTTAACATCATCTGAAATCTGAAGTATACTTTTTATGAACTGAGCACTGATTTACCAATACGGATTTCAGTTTTACTCTATAGTTAAACATCCACTAAATATGACTTTGGAGCAGATTTTTGCAAACCACCACCACCAAATGTTAGGCCACTAATGCAGGAAGCGAGTTATTTTCTCCCATTACCCCCTTAGATACTCAGTTCTAGTGGAACTAGAGCAGGGGTGTCAAACTCAAGGCCCGGGGGCCAAATCCGGCCCGCGGCTTCATTTCATGTGGCCCGCAAGAGCTTGCAAAAAATATATTAAGTTTATTATACAGTTACATGCCGATTTACAGAAAGCTCTTGCGGGCCACATGAAATGAAGCCGCGGGCCGGATTTGGCCCCCGNTATCTTCCTTTACAAGTTTAAGCCGAGACTAGCATCGTTGTAGCCCGGTAAAGCACTCCCGTAGAATTCGCAAACATACTCGCGGCCACCTCAAAGAGTCCGGAGGCCGTCGGTCGAAAGCACTCGTCCACCGTTTTTAGAAACCGTACGGTTTTTTTAATGGCCTTCCTGGAACGCTTTACAAGTAAAGGCACAACTTAAACACACAGTTAAAACGGGAAAGCATACCGTGAGCACTCCCGTAAGAACAATAGTAGACACGGGAGCCGGTAAGTGGGGCTAGTATCACTCCCGCTTACGGGCTACCGTGGCTACTATTGTGCTTCTACTGTGCTGAACTGTTCTACGGAGTGCTCACGGAAATTCTTCAACGCGCGAGTGCTTCAACGACGGCCTCGGACCCTTTGGAGGTGCCGCCAGATGCTACCGAATTTCTACCGAGGAGTGCTTACGGGGCTGCAACGATGCTAGTCCGCTTAAACTTGAAAGGAAATAGCACACCAGGTAGACCACAGTTAAAGCCCTCGCACACTGTCCCCGAAATTCTTTGTCCGAAGTACTAGGTTTTTTAATCGTAGCTTGTTCTAGTCCGTCCGTCCGTAGTGTTCATTTTTTTTACATATAATGTATCTTGTCTTTTGGGCTCCATTCCTACTATTTCGTTACTTTCTCACGTTTCTTTAACGGTTACTGATAGTTGCGGGAAAACAAAAAAAGGTCCACTTTGTAAAGGGTCAACACTGTCATGGAAGGTGGTCCATCACGTGTAAAGGGGTCTAGTGGAGAGTCTCCCTTTCGTCTTTTACTTCCTCTTCCCTTCACGAGCTCTTTGTGCTACCTGAAAGGAAAGAGAGGTTACGTTCGAAGTTGAACGAAGTATGGGATTTCCGGAATACAAGACAAAGTCTTTACAACGGTCCGTGTGACTAATTAGCTTATGACATGACACTCATTTTCTTTGAGAAGTTGTACATAAGGGTACCTAAATACATATGTAGAGGGTTCCAAAAGGGGTTCTCTACCTTAACTTTGTGTATCTAACTATCGAATAAAAATTTAGAAGAAAAAGATGTATAGATGTCGTGTCATACAATTGCAAAAAAAGAGGAATACTGTATTTGAGGGGTCAACGGTCTTAGGTACTTTCGTCAACACGAGCCACGGTCGAACCGACGATACGAGAGAATGGTCTTAGTTCTACCTAAACCCGATTAGACAGTTGGCTCCTCCGGCGAGGAGTCAGAGGAAACCAGAGGAAAGTACAGCTTTTTCCTGCCCACAGATGGTCAAAAAGGATGTCACTAAAGTAATTGTTCTCTGTACGTTACTTTGTTCTCCCTTTTTGATCCAGTACCTAAAGTGTATTGCGTGACGTAGGGTCACATAGGGTGTCATGGAGTCTAGAGGTGGTCCTCGGTACATCCTAGGTAGACCCACCGACAATTTACGTCTTCATTTTTCTCACCCGTACGTCCTCCATTTTTTTCTCGAGTTACATAATCCTAGGTCGGTGGGGTGATCAAAACATATGCTGTCGACACGAGATATTGTGTGACTGTTCTAATTCCACGTTTGTATATTTGTTTATCTGTTAGACGTACGAATCGAACTTCGTAACTCGTTTCGACGGAGGGGAGAGAAAGAAGAAGACGTGGAGCCACTTTGACGTCAACCCTGCCCTTTCTCACCTCTATTTAATCTCCGACGATCATCTGGTTGTTTTATTGCACAACAAAATCATGTAAACATATTATGTAAATAACCCAATTTGTGTTCTGTGAAACTGAAAAGGATATAATATATTATTTTGAAGGCGAGTTGACAGGAAGTTGTTGTTGCTATGGAAACAACATTATGGAGAAAATTTAATATCTTCTACATATAAAGACGGATAAAGTAAAGAACAAAGTCTGAAAATATCCGTACGGTATCATAGTACTTTAACATAATTGTTTTTATTACTTTCGTTGCAGTTGTATGTCTTAAATGTAATGTAAATGTTGCCTTCGTGTGTGGTTCGGGGCCATCTTTGTGCGAAATTCACAATTCAATATTCGTGTGTCCATCGGGTGTACATTTCGGGACAGTGTGACAGGGGCTTTAGCTACTGACTACAGCTGGTTAGCGTAACTTAGTATGAACACTAAAAACAGCTAGCATGACTCTGTCCAAAGGTAGTCCAGCTACCATACTCTCTAAAGTTGATAATTTACTACATTTTATATAAAATATTTGATTTGATATGAAACCAAAACATATGAGTATTTTAGGATAGTATTTCTACTTTTACTCCAGTGAAGAATCTACTTCTTCCTCCTTTGCCTATATATGTGTCTAATAACCCAACACTAGCTGCACATCTCACTGTTGGTATGAAAGATACTTGAAAGATACTGTAAGCTTAAACAATGGTGGCAGATTAATTGCAAAATACATTAAAGT